ACTATGTTTTGCTTACACATCTGTGGGAGGCTACCTGTTTAATAAATTAATAAATTTTAATAAAATGTTAATGTCTTACTACTACGTAGCGTATGAAGGCTGTAGACAGATTTCCCCAAACTCTAGATAAAACAGGCCATTGCGGTTGAAAGAGAGTATTTGGTCAATATGACTAGGAGAATTTCATCTTTTTCAACTTCCATGAACATCCGGGCATGAACACCGTGCCATATGGATTGGATTTTGTCCTCGAGAACTGTCGTTTCACAATCTGGCGCCAATATGCTAAGAGGCTATTCCTTTTTGAAGAAAATATCATTTATCGATCTTTGTTAGACAAAGTAGTATGGATCATATTCATTGATTAGAAACATGCAGTCTTGATTCGATGTGCTATTTTTAGGCCCACAGACGTTTTGTTTCCCTAAGAACAAACAGAGTAAAGTAACAAACCGGTGAAGTAAAATGTCCGGTTGCTTCGACGATTGCATAGGATTTTTCCATAGCTGAGAAATTAACAAATAATGAACTTACGAACTGTTTACTTCATATGACAACTTAAGCTCGCCAAGATGGGCAATGTTGTTAATCTGATAATAATATAAGATCTTTCAAAATCAAATCGATTGGGTATTTACAAGCTTATTAAGCTTCGGATGGTTACCAGGCAATTTGTAAAAAAAGGTTCTTGTTTTTCACCTGGTTTGTCTATTAAGCCATCCCACTTAAAATTCCATTGGGCTCAGAATAAAAGAGAATCGATGGAGGAACCTCCCTGCGTTTTTAAGCATGTGGCGGACGTTCCTAAAGGAGTACGAGTAATATAAACTGTCACTCGGTTTGAACTGACTCATCGGAACATGAGTGTGCATATCAAAGTAAAATCCGTCACTTTGTATCACGAATAAAGTAACACTTACATCAACAACTGAAGAGTCTTCTACTAAGAATTACACGAATCCCAGCGGACCTTCACAATTTGCGCTCCGATGCTAGGAAATTGGTGGGTACATAAGTGACACACGTCCTACACACTGCCAGAATAATCAATGTCGAAGGCGTCATGGGATTACTTATAAGCTTGGTAGTCGAAAAAAAAAATTTTTGTTTGTCACGAGCGAGACGCAAAAAAAAAGAAATTTGACCTCCTTACGACGACAACGTACACGAGAGTTTGAAAATGTGCCATCATTCTTACACTAAATACTAACTACCTTTAATCATACACGATTTGAGTAGGCGAAAGAACTTGCCTGTTGGTCGTGATGTTAATAAGAAAACGGTAAAGAACCCAGTTGACCCGCTTGAGTAAAAGGAGTGTAATCTGTACAATACTTAAGGAAATATGAGCCATCAAACAGTGCGGAATGTTTTGTGACGATTCATTCACAAGCTTTGTTTTTGATGGAAGATTTTTAGTTTCTTTAACACTACCTAGGTAACCAAAGGAAATTTTATCATGATCCACAGTTCAGTGTTTCTGAATATTTAATATCGTGTTTTTTTTTTCAGCACAATTTACAAAAGTGTAAGGAAAGGTCTAAGGGGCCGACCATTTAACTTTTGAGAGGGGGGTTGGGTGATTTCTGGTCATCAAGAAATTTTTTTCAAGCAATCTGCTGCGCAGGATATTTTTTTTCCGATTTTTTGGTACATTTTTTCTGTTACATTTGGGCTTGATGCAATTTTTTTCTTCTAACAAGCGCTTGCAGGAAATTGTTTTTCAAAATCACCCACCCCTTCCCCCCTCAAAAGTTAAATAGTCAGCCCCTAATATCGATATAGATTGTACGATAATTAAGTGATACTTTTTCCAAACACTTCTCTAACAGTGTTTACAAAATCAAATTTTTGAATTGCTCGACTGAAGAGTACCGCTAGTGAGCGTCAGTCCAAAAACTTCAGTAAGAAAGGTATATACTGAGCGCGAGAAAGTTACTGTCCATCTAAAATTGCCACAGCTATGTAAATGTCTTTTGCTCTCGTCTCCTAATTAGAAGCTAAAAGAAGTGTGTGTTTGCTGGCCCTTCCTAAGAAGAGAACAGGATAATATGCTTATTTCCGGATTACCGTGACTGTTACGCCCTAGAATATTCTTCAGATGATTAATTCAATTAAGCCTTAATTACTTAACTGTCTGGATGATGAGACACTTTATACTCAAGTACCAAGTATCATGCTATGATATTTCCCACATCATTTTTGCCTAATGCAATAGTTGAACGTATTTCTTACATTCGACGAGAGAATATCGAAAGGGCCGGTCACCAGATAACATTTGCGCAAGGAATTACGCAAGAAATTGAAAAATAATTTAGTTCTGCGCAGCGACAAAAGAAACCGAGTTAAAAAATCTGACGAGGAACTGAGATTCCACAAGAAGCCTTTTATACGTAGTTTATGTTCATCCTAAAATGCTCAGGTAGCATAGCTAGGTATAGGCAAAGAGATCATTGTCGCATCATTGTATTGCTAATCGTTCTTAGCCTAATTAAAAAATTTTCCCACCATAAGTTGAAAGATTTCCTGAGCTTGAATTTCGTCGGAATGACTAACGGGGTAAAACTACATGCATCTGGGCGGTGCTCACACGAGTGACGGGGTTCACTCCCTGAAAGTTTGCAGCAAGCATTCCCAAAGACACGCTAACCGTTACATGTTTCCTCTGATCTCATACCCTGGATATTATTGTTAAAAAACTCCTTGCTTTCAGTTGAAGAATGAGAACTGAATTCTTGACTTCATTCTAGTTTTGAATGTGAACGACCCCGGAAACTCGTAGATTTAAGCTACGAATATTTCCAAATGCCTTTTGTAACTAGATGACTTATGGCGTTCATTTCATTTCCTTTAAGAAAGCTATGTAAATGCAATCGATTTTTCTTTCCATCCAAGGACCAACCTTTGACCGCGGAAAAGCTAAAGCGTCAATTAATTCACTTCAGTTAAAAAGTTTTCAAGCCGATCCACGTTTAAATTTGATCTAAAAATCTTTACACGAGGACGTTACTGGAGCGAGTTTTTCTTTAGAATCTTACCGAAGAAGGCTTCGTATGGATAAGATCTGGGGGAGATTAGATAGAATTAAAGAAGTTGGGTGAGTTTTTATCAGTCGAAGTCTCCATTCGGAAGCACGCGACAGAGAACGGCAAGCCGGGGTGAGTGAGAATTAGAGAAGAATATGATTGTGAAGATGTTTGTACATATAAAATACCCGAGGCTGACATGTCTTCCAGTCAAATCCCAAGGTACTTTGATCGAATGAATTAATACAAAATCTCCTTATTTTCATAAAAATTTTACCCTCTAATTCACGTCTTTTTTCATCGTTTTATATGTTATTGAAGCCTGTCTCTTTTTTTTTTTCTCCCTTTTAGTGGTGACAATATGCACCATTTTTCAGCTTATTCAAACAGATCCCTTACATCAGTTGAAAGTACCATTTGGTAGCGACGCATGAGCGCATCTTGTACAACCCCCAAAAAATTGATAAGCTTTCTTCGGCGTTTTTTGTTCTCCATATCAATGCTTATTCGTGATTTAAAGTTTCTCTTCCGGGTTTCGTAAGATTTGTGACCGTACACTGCTTCGAAAAGTCCATGGTAAACTCCACTAAAATAATAATTCTAATACAAAAAATTTGAAGGGAACTCACCCGCTTTTCCAACCACGGTTTTACGTCGCTGAGGCAGTGCTGAATCCCAGAAAATGTGCATCATTATGATAAGGACACAAAACCCGTGCATCATGTGAATTTTCTTCCTAAGCTGAAGTAACCGACACAGTTCAGTTTCTTCTCATGTTGAAAATGCATAAGTCTCAACGTTGTTAAATACTGTAGCGAAATAGTTCTAGAATCTTCTTCGCTGTTTCAGCTAATTCTGTCAGTTTCCTGGTGTTGACATAAATTGTAGGGATGAAAGCGCACCTGCACGGAACTTTACATTTTACTGTTTTTCAGGTCAGCCGGGGTACTTTCCCGCTCTGTCTCTAAAAACACTCGAACAAGACTAAATACTCCCATAGTTTGAATAAACAACAGCCTGCTAGCTGAAGGAACTAGTAGTTTGGGCAATTATCAACTTACAGAAAATGCAGTACTGATGAGGAATTTTTTTGAGGCCACATCCACATTTTTTTGGTCATCTTTAATCATCTCATTGTCATTTATTTGACCCTTTGATCGTTAACTGCTCTTTACATTTTTGCACCGATTGCACCAAATAATATTTCTAGCTAATAGATCATGACGCTTGTCATATGAAATAATTTGGATATATCAACAAATTTGAAATGGTAAATTGGCCACCGTAACGATTACAAAAGCTGACGTTTCATAAGTTCGTATTGGGCCTTGTTCGTCATAGAGTCTCGGCTTAGTGGTAGAGCATCGGAGCGCGGAATCCGAAGGTTTGAGGTTCGATTCCTCGTGAGGACTCAGAAACGTTCCTCCGTCCCACGCTCGTGTGAAGACAATGAACATCTTTCTCTACATTAATCGTGTTCTTCGGGTAAAATGAACGGAAAAATTGGACGGAAAATGGATGGAAAATGGACGGAAAATGTAGTGAAATAATATCTTTAATTGTTAATGATCTGTCTGCAATTCTTCTTTCACAGGGAGTCAAGTGTGAATGTGCCTAAAAATTAATTAATATAAACTGATTTTCTTGACTGTAAAATGCGCCGCTTGTCTTTCCGACCAGATGGACATGCCGACCAGATGAAAACGCTTACGATTTGTATTTCCGGATTACGCCAACAGTTATGTTCCAGAAGATTCTAAATTGTCGGACTTCTACTGAAAATGTAAAAGCACATTCCACATGTCTAAAGTAAATTAAAAGGTGATGCCTTTTATGGCAATTACGGGACCGACAAGCACTCAAATTAATTTGACGATAGATTAAAATCTTATCTCGTACTCCAGAAACACCATCCCGGCCAAACTGGCAAGCTGTTTGAATAAACAATCATAAAAAAAAATTGCGCTACAGACGGAGTGTTTTAATTGTTTTAATATTTGTTTATCAAGCGATTTTTGGAACCTATGAATGCATCTTAAAAGATTTGCAGTAGAGGCATCTTTGAAGTCTCTTTTCTGCAAGTTGTGTAAAATTGTCTTTCTTCTTGAAGAACCATAGGGAGTAAAGATTAGCCTATTTTAAGGTTACTTTTCCAATAATCATATTATTTCTTGAGGTTAGGAAGTTTCTTCTATATTTAGTTGTCCAGTTGTCGTGAATTTTCTAGAAAAAGTAATTCAAACTCCTTCCGATATTAACCTAAGGAATGACAACTTCAGGATAGACGAAATTTGATTAATTTAAACAAGTGATGTTCAGCCAAACATTTGTCTGCGGTAGTCTGTGTCACGCTTCAGTAAGTAACGTCACACAATTTAACGCAAAAATTTCGCGATTTTTATAGTCTATTTACAATTAGTAATTGCATAGTTCAGAAGCCAATCATCAAACAATGCAATTAGTCTAAACTAGATAACTAAGAGTTTTTGACTCAGGAACTCTCCGGACAATTGTTTCAAATAAACTTCCTAAAAGTTTCCCAAAATCTTTTGCCAATCGAATGGCACCTATGAGTGACATTTCAAACCACTTTATACAGGCAAATAATGCTATGTCGCCATTGTGTATTGCAATCTTTACGCGGGCAGGAGGAAACAGTTTATTTACCATTGCATCATCATAGCTGAAACAGCAACGTACATTTTAGTTGCGAATTGAAGTAATTGCAAAAATTGCGCATTGAAGTTGTATTCCGCGAAATTTTGCCTTTCCCCGAAACAACAACGAAAAGAAAAAATTAACCGGAACTACAACATTAATATGAAAAAAAAAACCAAGCGCACAGAAAAAAAAAACATATAAAAACTATGAAAAAAAATAGTAGCAAAATCATCCAGAACATGAGCGTAGTACAATATCAGAGATAAAAAATGCAGGTTATAAAGCAGTTAGCAATGCTTTGTTCTGTCGTCATGCTGAAGGGACTGTTGCCGAGAGTAAGTTCTTCCTCGTCGACGCGGATTGCATAATTGTTACTTGCTGTTTATGATTTTTTCTTCGCTGCTTTCACTGCTTGTAATGGCTTTCCACAGAAACCCTTCTTGAAACCAACATCGTCGATTGCAATGTCGCCTCGAAAGCTTCGACCTCTTACGGCTTCGATAATTAACTGAATGGGAGAGAATGTGAAATTAGTAAAGATGAAAAATGATAGAAGTCACAACTGATTCATAGAATTCATTATCTTTGAAAATGATATTTTATCTAAGAGGCGCGTCAGCCAAGTGTACGTGTGGCCTACCAAAAGGTACTGGTTCGAGCGTAGCGCTGTGAAATGAAGAAAGCTGATTTTGATACACAAATTTTACTCTAAATTTCAACTTTCTGCTTTAGCCAATTTGTACGATTAAGATGTCTGTAACTCGCATCTTGTACCTACCTTATATTGGCTACCTCCTTTAATACCAATTTCAACCTTTCGCCAGTCGTCTCCCTGGTTTCCATTTTCGGTCCAAAGCAGGGCAGGTAGGATTCCTTTTCTCAGTTCTTGTTTATAAACAGACAAGCTGTCTATATCTCTGCCTGACATATGGTACGCAAAGAACAAACAGCCGTCTTCTCCAGAGCCATATATTTTCAACATGGCTTTGTCGCCGGCCCTTCTAGGGGAAGACGACTCGATAAAAGCGTACTTTCCTAGAGAGAGAAGTATGATGAAAATTGTATCTAGCGCAAGTACAACACAATTGATCGTTTTCACGTGACGTCACGAAAATTTTTCCGCCATATTGGTGTACAACGGCGGGTTGCGTGAATATACACATTTTACGCAAATGATGTTCACATCGCAAATCGTAGCCTTTCCAAAATGGATTATTCTGAAAGTGAAGCTAAATCAATTGAAAATGTTGAAGATACGTCTTCTGTACCTCTTTCTGATTATGCTAGGAAGCTGGACCAGCGAGTTAAAAAGCGCTACGAGGACAAAATCGCAGGAATTGGCATTTGCATTGATCCCGTGTTACTTGAGGGCAGGCACTTTGAACCGGATTGTTTACCTCCCGTGGAAGCTACAGATCTTTTATCCTATCTTTCTCAGTTGGTGCCTTTTCCGAGCGTTCTAGGTGCGGATTTAAAACACTCACTAAGACTGAATCGATGACTAAACCCTTTTCAATCCCAAGATCTCATTGACAACTCCCCTTACTCTCTGCCATACAACTCTTATACTGTTGATAAGGAGGACTTGGTACTAGTGCAACTAACAATCCCCTGATTGATATTTCTCTTTAACATCATCACTTGTCAACTTGAGATTGTCCTGATATTGTAAGGAGAAATTCCGTCTTGGTCACTCGTGCTAAAAACTTGCATCGGTTTTTCCATAGCAAGGGCATTACCTGACCCGCCAAATCCTGTGAGTGGCCCAGTGCCCACCGAGGGTGTTTCACCCTCAGTGATTGACCAGTCAAACTGGTCTTGAGATGCCTCATTTCTCCACAGGCAGAAACCTGCGTCAAAGGAACACACTCCTGGAAAAAAACAAAACAAAAAAAATTTTAAACTGTTTTGCAGTATTTGCAGAAAAAAAAACTATCAAGTCAAATTTATGAATGTGCCTCTGACCGTCTCAAGGACCAGTCGTTGGGGGAGAGGGTATTGGTGGCGTTTGGGGGAATCAGTTCTCTTTAACAGAGTTTAAAGGGGAGACCATCGAAAATTGTGGGCCCCACCCCCAACTGAGGGAAAAGGCCTTAGGAACGAGGTTTGTTCATGCTGGTCTGATAACTCTCGTTTTCCTCTCGCCGTGAGGCAGGAACATACTGCTGAACAACCATTTTTTTTTTCTATTTGAGAATGAAACCTCGAACCGTCTATCCAAGTTTCTCGTTTTCTTTTCAATTTAACAAATGGTAAACGCTATAGCGTTCCACAGCGTACAATATTAAGTTATGAATACAAGCGGAAGGTTGCTGAGCACGAAAGAAGCATGTGTTTCGTAACGTACCATTGATACATTGTAGCAAAAGAGTTCCCTTTTATTTAACACTGAAATATTCCGTGGCCAGAAAAAAGAAGCGCGCGGAAACTAGTCATTGCATTTGCTCAAATCAACAGCGTGTTCCCATGGGCAAATGGTGGACACTAAATTGATCAATCAGAGCGCGCACTTTACTTTGGTTATGTCATAAAACAACTTAGTGTGCAACTCAGAGTTCTCACCTTCTCCCACATGGCTGTCCGCTTGGATTTCTTCTTTACTGACTCTTACCACGCATCTTCCAGGGGTAAATGTTATAGAGTCCACTGCTATGTCCCCTTCGAACGTTGGACCTCGTTCACCCTCAATGAAAATCTACAGTGAAACAAACATACGAGGCTTAGGTCATCGAAAGGGGATTGTAATATACAGGTAAGAAATGTTCAGATAGAGGAAGGAGATGTAGCTAAAAGATTCATTTGGATTTTCAGTGGCCCTTGCAAATTATTTCAGGAAGGAAATTGGGAAGGTTAATCAGAGGTAGTGATAAAATTTGTAAAACTTGACTTCGCCTTGCTATTCTAAGTGCAACAACTTAGTGAGTGCAGTCTCTCATTTACGTGCGGCAAATCAGAGAGTTCGCTCTATTCAGAAGAAAACCTGAAAGATTCAGGATTTTCCCGAGTAAGCTGCTCCTTAGGAACTCTTTCTTCAGAGGCTTGGACAAGTGAAGTCTCCCAGACATCTTAGACTTACCATATAAAATTTCCCGAACAAATTAAATCGTGCATTATTCCAGTCTTCTCCTTGGTCTCCGACTCGGTACCAAACCACTCTTGGTGTTGAGCCTTTTCGTTTCATTTGGTAGATCCTAAGAGTTCCGATCCCAGACCCCATCATGTGGTACTTGAATTGCACGCACTGGGTTCCAGTCATGTATCCACTTACCAGCTTGGCCTTCTCGCCACTTCTTTGCAGAGAGGCCTCTAGATAAATATACCAACCTTTGGTTTAAAAAAGGAAATAATAATTAATGATGATAACAGTGTCAACGATAAAGCCAATTACAACGAGGAAGACGATTAAAATGCCAATGACACTGTCGATGATAACAATAAGATCAAGGAGAAGGATATGCATGGGAGATAGTGATAATGAACTTTCGAATTTAACACAGTTTAAATGAACAAGAGGAGAGCGTTTGATGTACCACTGACATGAAAGCATCATGAACTCTTCATACCCTTGCATCAGAATGCAAATCATCTACACTGATGTCTATGCACTTCCTAAGATGCTGACAAGAATAATTTGTTTAACAATCAAGAGCTTCTTTAGTTGGCGATTTTTTCCTTCATTCTCGTGACATTAATGTTTGATTCAGGGGTGGTGGTAAAAGGAAAAATTGGATGCTAGTCAACAATTGGTTCATGCTTTAGCGTGCACTATCGAGTTATGGAGCACGTGGGAAGTTTGGAGAGCACGAAAGAAGCGTAAGAGTTGCTCGAGGCAATAGCCGAGGGCAACTCCAGCTTCTTGAATCAATTGTTTTATAACATAGCCGGTGGAATTATGCATCAAATCTGACGCGAAAAACGGACAACAATATCAGAAGTGATGGTTCGCGGTAAGCGAAATATTAAGCAAAATAGGAATTGGTTTTATTTCAAACTTTTTGTTGAAAGCTCAAGTTTTATTTTACTGCAGTTTGTATCCATTATTGTGACGAAATATATCATTTTTTCCCGCGCTAATAATGGCAGCTCACGCGAAAAAAAAAAAATTCTGGCGAAGCGATTTGCTGACGCTATCAGCGTGCACTGTTGGGATTTTGAGCACGCTTACGTATACTGAATTTGATTGCGAGGCTCTGCTAGCCATGTTATAATCACTCTTACGGGTCAAAGAGTTAAAGCTAAGAGATTGTCTAAACGTAGAACTAAGCAACAATTATGGAGCCTGACACGATTTTGCAAAAAAACATCTACTGGTTTGTACGTAGGAATCCGGATCTTGAGGCATTAGTTCGATTCTTGGTTAAGACACTTTACCCTCCCACCGCCTCCATATTCCGGGAGTAGGAATGGGTACCAGTGGGGCTAACTGATGGGAATCTGTTGTATTGCGCCTAGGTCTAGCATCTGATCATTTGATTAAAAATATCTGGAAATTTCGTTCCATATTTGGTTACAGTGAAAACCCCAATCCAAAAGTTAGTCCTCATATTATACTTCAAAGCTAAGTACATGTTTTGGTAAACGATTAGGCACTCTATTGCTAAAGAGGACAATTATGCAGTATTCACCATCTCCGTCCGCGTCGGAAGCCGGCCCAGTATTCCTAGTCATCGTCTCCCCTTTGTTTATAAGCCAATCAAAGTCATCGTTATTGTCGTTTATCCAGGAACAGAAATGTCCACTGAATGAACAGTTATCTTAAAAACCAAAAGTCAAAGTAAAATAAGTAAAAATAAGACATCTTTTACTTCTTTGATACAACTAATTTGAATATATGAAAATCATATATGTGTACTGCGGTTTCAAGAAATGTAAGAAAGCAATCCTAGCAGTAATGAACCCTACTTATGTAGTAGTCGAAATAAGGTCTGAAAAAAACAGTCAGGGCCATGCGAGATTTGAACCCATGACCTCTGCGATACCGGTGAAGTACTCTACCAACTGCGCTAACATACCAACTGGGAGCTAGTCATTATGTTGTTTCGTATTAAACCCGTCGAAGTAATAAATCAATTAATTTGAATATATGAAAATCGTACCACCACATAAGTAGGGTTCATTACTGCGAGAATCGCTTTCATACAATTCTTTGATACTTTTTATCGTTTGGTGACACAAGATCAGTTTTAAAGATATCTTGACGTTTTACATTTCTTTTTATATTTACCTCAAGCTGCATGATATACGCTAATATGGAACTGATCGAAAATTAATTGAAATAAACAAACAACAACAACAACAAAAAAAAAAAAAACAGCATCAACAACATAAAAAATTCCACCCTCTCAGTAAGGGTCGTGCGTATGAGTGAGTGAATAAGTCAGTAAGTAAGGAAGAAACTGACGTAATGATGAGAAAGTTTACATTTTGAAGAATCAATAAAATAGCTTTGCTTACTTTCAACCAGTAAATTTGCCGGAAGAGTGGGTGTGGTGGACTTCAGTGTCGTTGTCGCAGCAGTGGTAGTACGTTGGAAGGGAGGACAAGCACCTTTTGTAAACTCAATCTTGTCAATAGCCATATCACTTCTCCACACACCAATAACCGCTTCGATTTGAATCTAAAATAATTCAATTGATCGATAACTGTGAGCTAAGATTAATCCTTCGAGTATGTTTCTGTCCGAATGTGGCAGTACATTAAGAATTATGGTTTTCTCGGGATCCTCGTTGCTACGCATTCAGAATTAAAGAAAGCAGGGCAATTCAGAGATATTTCACCCTTCTACCAGCACAAGCGATAGATAGAGGAATACAAGATTCGAGGAGCATGGATGTCCAGGCGCAACTGAAACAAAGCAGCTGAGGAGAGCTAGACAACGTTTGGCGTCGTTCTTATGATGACAAGAGAAAGGCGAGATTGATAGGCCTTAACACTATGATGCAAATGGTTGATGTAAATAATGATGTGAACACGCATTTTGAATCGTTCTTACATATAAATTTATCGGAAGCAGACGGATGGATGACTTCAATTTTTGCTTTTTTATTATGTTCAACACGCAAGTTACTGTTCCAGTCCCCGGTTGCCATAACCATAAATGAGGGCTATTTTATGGGGTGGTAAACAACGTCATGTAGGAAAGACAAGATGTACAATGGCAACATCTTCGTGTAAGTAACACAGGATATGACAATGTATAGCCACATGGAATCTATTTGTGAAATGAAATTGTGAGCAGAAGTCCCTGAACTTACCATATACGACGTTGCGTTACACGGAAGAGTTATTCGTGCTTCGTGCCACTTGTCACCTTGGTTGCCATAGCGACGCCAAAGCCGACCCTTCATGACTCCGTCGCCAAAGCGATAAACAGAGAGAGAACCCATATCTTGACCAAACATATAGTATCTAAAGCGCATGCACTGAAGACCCTTCAATAAACCGCTGAAGAGGATTGCTCTGTCACCGACTCGCCTGGGCTCTGATGATTCCACATAGAGGTATTGACCTTTGAGGAAGAAAATTTTAGGTAAAACAAAAGGTGAAAATGATGCTTTGTGAATTAGGGAAATTTAAGTTATCTGTTAAGCTCATTCAGTATCGTTCTAAGGGCTCGTCTTGTAGCTTGCCTTCTCTGTCCCTCCCCTTTCCGTTTAAAACTTTCTTGGCCTTTTTTTCAAAATCACCCCCAGTCTATTAGCATTACTAAAATTATTTTACCACGTGAACGAGTTAACAAAACTAGGCAAATGAAATGAGATTTAAATATTTCAAAGGAAACCGACAACACTGAAAAATCAATGATGAATTGTGCAAAGATGCCGGGCTGTAGCCAGATTTCAGGACAAAACGAGGCAAGTTTCGAGCGCCGAAGGCGCGAGCTGCTGGAGGGGTCTGGGGGCATGCCCCCCGGAAGACTTTGAAATCTAGAGGTTTAGAAATGCTCTTTTAAGGATTTTCCGTGGCATTTTTCTTCAGAAAAGTCAATCTTTAAGAAAAAAATTAAAAAGGGCCAAAATTAAGACGAGGCAATTGCCTCATGCTAGCTACCGCCCTGAGATAATCTGGCGCCAAAAAAGGACAAACATGGTACGACTACAAAAATATTGGGCGCACCCTAAAATAAAATTGAGAGTCGTTCAAATCTTTAAAGTTGCCGATGTTTATACAGGTAAGATGATAATCCTTCGCGGATAACAGGATTGAGCAAATTATGGATTACGGCGCTGTGTCAACGTTTATCTAATCCATAAGCAGCTTACATTGGACTGGAGGGAATTATTTCGCCAGCATATGAATAGTACCCACATCTACCGATCTCCCTTCAATTGCATGTCATCTCAATTTTTTTTTCATTTAACAAGCCACGTAAGAAGCGTGCAGCTTCTGTTGCATGATCTCAGAGGGTTTGTGAGTTTCCCATATATTAACCCAAAGTTCCCAAGCACTCAAAGAGACGTGCATAATTTATGGTGTCGATTCAAAGATGTTATGGGGCCATCACATTAAGGCTTCTGACCTTCTCCTCCATAACCAGCAGTTGGACCTGTTTGTTCGCTAGGAGTTCCTCCCTCTATCAGCTGCCAATCAAAGTCATCATTGGGATCATTTGTCCATTCACAAAATCCTTCATCAAATGTGCAGTTACCTTGGGAATAACAGTATATTTCCACAAGTTAATTAATAGCAAATCTCTTGGATCACGCAAATAAATTGTAATAGCGTTGCATGTAAGATGAACAGTTGTGTTACTTTTTTGATGGTTGTGCGGTTTGCTCTGACTTACCAATCAATCCCGCATCGAATGAATCTTGTTTCAGCTGACAGCAGGTTCCTTTGCTGAAGAAAATGTCGTCCACGGCAAGATCAGAAAGATATGAAGGACCCACGATGCCTTCAAGAATAATCTGTTATTTAAATTTGAAAGATTATCTTAGTATTATAGGATGGCCACAATTTTCCATCCATCATCATTTAACCTACGCAATGTTTGCACTTTCGCTACTTTTGCAAGATAAGGAGATATTCTTTATTCAGATGTAAAGTTTTCGGTAAACTTTACTTATATATATTTTTCAGTGAGGTTCAAAGACTTCACAGGTTGCTTACTGAAACTGCCCATCTATTTTAGTCGGTTTGGCCTGCGTTACTGTTGCTGGAAGAGATAAAAAGCGACACGCGTGTCAACCAGCATAACACGCGGATCTCTCCCGTGCAATTGACGTGTGCTGGTTCTAATCATTAAATTTTCGGTTAAATCATTCCTTACTTAATCGAATTTCTTAGCACCTTCTTACAGCTTAAGGAGCCGGAGTTTCAACTCAATGATGCTTAAATTGTTTTTTAAAGCCTTCTAAATTCTAAGACTGAATTTCTTTACCACCGTGAAAGAACATGCAATCTCAGATGATAAAAAATATTTAGAGCACCTGGTAACAAGCTCCTCCGATATCAACTAAAGCCTCGTGCCAATCTGTTCCCTGATCTCCCGACATAGTCCATAACAGATCGTCACTGCGCACACCTTCTCTTTTGTAAACATTCAACTTTCCCATGCGATGCCCGTTCATACTGTAGAAGAACTGAAGGCACATTCTTCCGCAAATGCGTGGGCCCATTAGCAGCGCCCTATCTCTAGGTCTCTGTGGATCAGACCCCTCAATGAAAATATATGCGCCTGATGACAAACGAAATATAAGTTTTGGATCAGGTACGTGATTCAAAGATCCTGTGGTTAAGGTATTCAGGTAGAAGTCTTCATAGAATTCTTTATTTTACGATAAAATAGTAAACCAGTTTACCATCGTATCCTGTGTGATCTTCCTCTGGACCAGTGTTCATCGTTGGTGTGGTTCCACTGTTTAAAGTCCAGTCGAACTCATCACCAAGGGGAAGATTGATCCATTCACAAAACCCACCATCAAAGTCACACGTCCCTAAAACAAAGTTACGTAGGAAGAAAGGGTACACATCTATTCAGAATGACATTAAGTCACCTCATTCAACTCTGCTCTAATCAGTCATTTAGTCAGCCAGACAATCCGTCCGTTGCCTGTAGGAGTGGTCGTAAGTGGTTTGCACGTTCTTCAGTCCGTCCCTTCATTAGTTAAACTACACAGTCTGTCCGTCAGTCGGTCTGGTAGTCAGCCAGTCAGTCAGGCAGTTGGTAACTCACACAGGTGAGAAAGTGAGTGGGTGTTCCTTTGTATGTCAGTCATTCAATCAGTGTCTGTCAGTCAGTCACTTGGTCAGTTAGTCAGCCAGCCAGCCAGCCAGCCAGCCAGCCGGCTGGCCAGGCGCTAATAATAATCAACTAAATTACCTGTCTCTCCTCTTTTCTTGTCTAAGGGCATCGTCGTGTTGCGGGCTCTTGGCACATAATTAAGTTTCTTTCCATCACAAGTTCCATTAACAAATGATATTTCATCCAAAGCAATATCACCCTGATAGGACTTGCCCACCCTGGCAGCAAATATAATCTACGGGTAGAAATTTTGTGATCAGCCTAGCAGCCAGAGTTAGACTGGAAAGTACACCGTACACTTATTATAACTATTACTGTTATTATAATTTGTTATTTTTTTGCTTAAAAACGAGGTCTCTCATTTAGGATACCTACATCCGTGAACCAAAAGAGCACGAAATATGTAATGCCTAAAGTAACCTCACCCAATAAAAACAACACTCATGGTTATAAAACATAACTTCCGCTAAGTCATTAATTGTTTCATCGACTCTTACTAAAATCTCCCGCTCCCCTGGTGAACAATCACAAGTTTCCCACGATCATACAACCTCGTTCCCAGGGCTCTTTCCCTTAATTGAGGGTGCAAAGGCCTTGGGAACGAGTTTGACGATCACAGGCTATTTCATCGACTCTTGCTCGTCAATCATAAGTTTTATACAAGCATAAGTTGTTTCATTGTATCTTACTGTGTAATTGCTGCCAAACACTGTCACGTTGCTGTACCTCCAGGTATTCCCTTGGTTTTTAAATCGGCCCCAAATGAAATTCTCCAGTCCATCCTCCCTTAGATAGATTTGTAGATCTGCGATGTGTCTGCCGTACATGTGGTAGAAAAATCGCATGCACATTATACCGGAAAATGGGCCTCCGACGAGACGAGCAGTCTCACCAGCTTTCCTCGGCCATGACGCCTCGGTGTAGACAAAGGAGCCTGAGAAACGAATCCAACGGGTTAGTTTTATGACGATATATAATCCAGGTGGAATTTGACGTAAAAGTCTTAGCTAGAGAAAATATATGCATTGGATAGATAAATGTTAGAAAAACCACGACAAAATTGGCAGAATCATACCAAATTTTATAGCGAACAGGAAACAGAATTAAGTACGAACAGGAAACGATATGACTCAAATCCCGCCAGACAAGCTGCCCTTTGAAAAAATGATAAGTTCAAAGTCGGTTTAGCGAGGAATGCAAACGTTTGTGAGTTAGGGATCACTTTTTAAGCGTGATCTTGAACAAAAAGATATGAAAAATGTTGAAAAATATTCATAAAAATTACCCTCCATAAACTTTTGGTTAGGAGAACTGATATAAAAGCTAGTTGCCCCACAAATCGCTTTTAGATCAGTGTGCATATTCTCCATACTGTTCTCTATACATTTCCTAAGGTGCTGATAAGGAGAATTTGCCTAGCAATCAACAGCTTCTTTGGTTGGTGGTCATTTCCTTAATTCTCATAACTTTCATTTGTGATTTAGGGGTGACATTATAGGGAGAAATTAGATGCTGGTCACTCTCTGGGGTTATAGGGTTAAATGTTTAAATGCTGTCAGGTTGAGGCGGTCACTGTGAAAGTAAAGTGTCTTTGACTCTGGTTGGGATGAGCTCGGACCGTGTCTCGCTACTTCAATTGAATTTGAAGGTTTGCTTCGTGTAATTTTCCATGGAGTGTCGAAGTAATCAAGGATCGTATTGGTTTTATTTCAATTCGTAATATCATTCATCCAGGAAACTCGCGCGATCCTCTGAGTCAATTAGGTTCAGATCAAAGCCAATCGCAACTTGGTCACCAGCGTTTTCCCGCGCTTTCATCACTTTGCGTTCTCATTGGCTCGTTGTGTTATTTTCTTTAGCCCTGATTGGTCGTTGCGATAATTGGTTTCTCTGTAGCGGCACTCAAGGAATGCGATCTAATTTCGCTATGAAGTGATTTTGTCCTACCGTCCCCAGAACGATCTTTCCTAGGTCCTGTATTACTGCTAGGTGTCCTTGTGCCCAGCCGAGTCCAATCAAAGTCATCTCCACCAGTTTCATTCCTCCAATTACAAAAATCCACGTCAAAATCGCATCCTCCGTCTTTTGCAAAGTCAATAAGAAAAAATAAAGAGTTAGTACGTGTATATGAGCACGATCCTTCGCAGTAAAGCACTATTTGAGCAATAGTGAAAATCAGTACGTGGTTCGTGTATCCTATGTGATCCAAAGTACATGGTTTGTGATCCAAGTTAATATTTGCCAGCCCTACTCGTCACATTTTAAAATTTTGCCAGCCTTTATCATCCTTTCTTGTTTTGGTTTATATTTGCTTTAATGCATTTATTCGGAAGCATTAATGCCTGATAGACAACATGTACCAAACCATGAATAGGGCCGACGATTTATTTCTTTAAATTTTTTTTTAAAACCCGTTCACCTTTATAGTTTTGTTAAACTCGCCAGATGTCGCGAAAAGTCACAAATAATAATTTGGGATTATGATTATTTTAATGGTGCGCATGCTAGATACAGTCAGACATGTATTTCGATGTATAAGCGGCACCATATTAAAGTGAAAATGACCGCTGATTTATGCGTTTTAGGCGATGGGACAGCGCTGAATGGTGTGCTTGAAAACGTTTTTGAGATGTGCACGGAAGCCGGAAGTTTAAACAATCTTATTCTTGTTCAGTGCTCGCTACACCATTTCGCTCGGCACAGTTTGGTTTAAAATTCTAAACGACAAACTCACCGTCAATTCATTGGCGTTATATATTCTGATCACTTGTCTGCTGGATATCGTATTAATATTGTAAGGATAAATTAAGGCTTGGTCACTCATGGGAGTTAAAGTGCTAATTCATTGAGCCACAAGTAACAGAATGTTGTATCAAATCTAGGGAAATGCAATAGGCAAAAATGACCCTCTTCCACTCTCTTTACAATAGATCAGAAAATACGCATCCCGAAGAATTTGTTTTAGCGATCGAGAACTTCCTTCGTTGGCGAGCATTTCATTCATTTCATCACCTTGATGTTTGACGCAATTAATACTGCAGGGATGAATTCCTAAGGTTCAAGGGTATAATCAAGAAACTGTTAGAAACAATAAACACAAACAAACGAAAAAGCAGCTATTTGTATCAAACGACACGAGAACTTTCCCTGAAACTTATTAGACATGAAGCTGAAAGGTGGTTATCCCTAAAAATTTAAAAAAGGAAAATGAAACGGACGATTTTTGAACTATTTGCAAACTGCTTTTAAACAACAAGTCAAGAAAAATGTGCTGTGCATGTTCCAGGCCAAATTCTTTGAAGTACTCTAAGGAAAATTGCCAAAACTCACTGAATGCTAAACTGTTTCCGCGAAATAGAAGACTGAAATCTAACCAATGATTTAATATTGGCGTTTCAAAGTTACCATTTGAAACACACTTGCCCCTCAGAAAATTCATTTTGGACATAAAGATCTCACCAGTTTGATGTTGCGGCCTACAAAAAATACGATCAAGGTTTTCTTTTTGTGCCTGTAATGAAATGTCGAGGAACGCTTTGGCACTGGGGCTTTTGTGAATCCGGTGTTTTGTTTGTTACTAATTAAAGTAACTCAAAACGTATTTGACGTGTTCTGAGCTTAAAAGCCTAACGAAATGTTATAATGTAGCTAACATCTGTTTTAGATCTAAAGGTTTTGCGCCCAGCGGCATGAGTTGTCAACATTGCGGTACTTTGTTCGCAGGAACTACGTATTTATACTGTCTTACTTTCAGGGAGTTAATTTCACACACGTACACACATGTCATACTGATTAACAAGGTTTTAGAATTACCATTTTGATCGTAAAATAATTACTGCGGACTTGAAGAGGTGTAAAAAATGATCTTGAACTCAAGTTACGAGCCTCCTTAAAAGTTCCGGACAAAACTAGCTCTGTCATCATAAAATGTTATACGGTCACAATATATCATAGAGCCACGATCACACATCACATAAAAACATACGCCCCTTTGTGCTGCAATTACTGCCTTTTGGCCAAAAAAGAAAGGAATTGTGATGCTATTCCCTGCCTACACCCAAGACACATGTAATGACTTTCTCCAAATGCATGTCACTTTTGGCCGATGGCCTGTTTTGGCTTAACTATTTCCCTCCTGGAATGATACAAATCCTCGTTGAAATAATCTTTGGGGTTTTATCTGATGATGCTGTTGTAATATTGAATAATTTCAAAACGGCCAGTTGTATTTAAATGTTCGTGTGGATTAAGTGCGTTTAACAGAAATTTGTTGGATGAATGTTTAATAGATTTCAACAGAAAATGTCATTTTGAAACCTGACTGCGAAAGTTATTAAGCAGAACACTACCAACTGAAAACGAATTTTTAAACAATGACTGAAGTTTTGACCAAAAACGATAATCCTCCTTTCCGTCGGTGAATTGCTTTTCAAATCACGCCAATTCGCGTGAGATGTTTCTCACGCTTGCCTGTGCAACAGATAAGTGACTTTTGTCCCGTATTCCGTTGGTTTTTTCTTTTTTTCTCTTCTTACTTTAAATTTTTCAATTACAATTCTATAGAAAGTATCTGATTTTGGTTACTAGAATCGTTCGCTGAAAATTTGGAGAATCGCTTTTAACAAAGTCAAGAACTGGCCCAGGTTACTGGTTGATTAAGACTGGCCATTAGCTTCCTAAGGTACGACTACAAGCCATCGTGCGTGGAATTCGAGGGGGAAATTTCCTCGCCGTAAGTGGTTTTTACCTTTTAGCACACGATCACTCAAGTCTCAGATTTATTGTAGACTGGACCGGACATGTGTTTGTTCACACGAGAAGTTCTTTTATCATTTATAAAGCCGGAAGATCTTAAGTACCTAAGGTGGTAATGGAAATTATTTCCATCTTCTTTATGTCCTGATATATTGCAGTTTTTGCAATGTGTGGGGTCATTGCGCCACTTGTTTTTCATAATAAATCTTCATGTGCATGTGACATGAGTTGACAGAGTTGTCCCACAGAAAACAAGTTATCGATTTGCGGCGACGTCTAAAAAGGTATCAACTACATACAACTGCTGGTGGTTAATTTGGTTTTGTAGCGACTCGTAAAACTTTAACAGATGGAATTAAAGTCGTTTGTTCTTCAAACATGCTATGCGCATTATCAAAACGATCTTAATCCCGTGGTGCTATTTTTGATTTTTTGTGACATTCTGTAGCGTGCAACGCATCAACGTTTACAGCCTCTAAACGCGCTAATTTAAAGGAATAAATCGGTTAACTTGTCCGTGAGTACATTTGAAATACATAGCATTTCTAGGAGTGTCAGTTCTTCTACAAAAATTTAACCATACTACGTTACCTAAAGGTGCTTCACTGTCCACTCCGTGGAATGACGTCGTTTCATTGAAGGAGCTCGTCGGTTTATTGCTTTCTGTGGAGTTTCTGAGGGCAATGCTGTTTGCCAAAAGAGACAAGGCAATCGTGCAAAAAATCGTCTTGTGGGTCGAAATCATCGTGATGAACGCTGCGTTTGTTTGTCCAACTCACTGATCTAAATCTCTCTGCGTAACGCTTCCTCTGCAAAAGTCAACAAATGATAATCCGTTTCTTTAATTCTCCTCTTGCGAAAACGTAAATTCAAGAGTAAGGTCTGGAATGTAGATCATGATTGATAGATGAATAGTAGGCGGTGTTACAGCCATGAGTCTCAATCATTAAACTGGAGCACTGTAAAAGCCTACAGATTACCTTCTGGCTAGCTTTAGTCTCGCTCTGTATGATGTTTATTTAACCCGAGACATCGGCTGCGCAAATACAAATACTTCAATTCAAATCCTTCAACAGTGGCGTCTCGCACATTTTGCCACACGCTGTGCACGCGCGTGAGCATTTCGCCAACCATTCCGTTATATTTTCGACCCTTTTAATCCGCGATATCCTATATCAATTCTCCGCATTGTATGTGATACTTTTTTTAGAAAAATTTAGCTCAGAGAATTTCGTGTTACATCAAACGTTGTTGCCTAGTTGATGTCTTTCCTTCTTCCCCTTAACTTACTGCTTGAAATTGTATCGATAACGGAATGAGAAAGTCCCCTTTGGTCAATCCGGGTGTTTAAAAGGTTAAGAGTTTTTACAGGCTCAATCTGATTTACGTCACTCTCTTTCCTAAAATGTACGGAATGCCCTTTCGAATAACCTAAAATAGAAAATAAGTCTGGCAGATCGACAAAATATTAGGAAGTTTGAACAATCCTTGGATCATTTTCCAAAGCGAATAACTCACCCACCAACGTTGGTAGATCTTGTTACATCGTGATTCATTGCGATCACCATTCAATCCAATTTAAAAGGAACCCAAGATAGGCGCAATAGCCTTGACCTACTCATGCTAGATTCTTCTCTTAAGTTTTTTTTTTCCTTTTTTATCTTCATATTCTTTGTCTTATTTTTGTTTAAGACATCAAAAACGTGATTAAGCGATCCTAATCAGAATATGATCGTATCAGGTAGCACCAGACGTTAACCTTGTCTCGCGCTATTTAAGTGTACATAGTTTATGATAAACAGTATATATGTTGATATGGGTGCGACATAAATAATAACATTTGACCATCTCGGTAATAGCAATTTGTCATCCGAATGACTCTGCGTCTTCGCCTTACCGATCATACTACGCCGCACAAAGAAAAAAACAACATTCACTTGTACATCATTTCTCAGCCGGAAGTGAAGTTATCGTAATCTCCTATTCTCTTCTTTGCAATCAACGAGCTGCCAAAACTGGATAAAGTCATTATAGATAAACACGAAGCTAAAAAGGCATCTTGTTGGGTATAATTAACTGACTACTCCAGCTACTTTTTTTACTATCTTATTAAGTACAGAAAAGAAAGTATCTTTTCTTGACATAGAACAGTCTTGCTATCATCTATTTTTTTTTCGGGAACCTTTGCACTTTTTTTTTCTTCTTCTTAAGAAAAACACACTATACAGTAATTTTGTGAGAACCTTGGTATTCATTCTTGACCATAAGCCAATTTTGGGATTTAGGAAAGTTATCATGCGAGCCGTGGTAATCTTAATTTTACCCGCACGTTTGAGTTTAAGTACAATCGGATTTTAAGCTTCAAAGCAGTAACATTTGACAATAGAAACGCCTAGAAAATGAAAAAAATCAGGAGAATCGAGGGTTAGCTGACCCTTGCGCTTAAAAGAATATAATCTTCCGCTTCAGATCAAAGAAAACAATTGGGCAATTGGGTTACCCTTACGTTCTCGTTGCACTCAGCTTGACTGCGCGGCTCAGTTTCGGGGAGTAAGATGCAATTGCAACTTTATGCAAGAGTTACAACAGCTAGGGGATAGCCATCTCAGGAATTATCGCCTCCGAAATTAATCATTGCGTCTTATCAATTGATCTAAAATTCAATTAAAATGTTTGTTTTTCACAAATCCTATCGGAGCATAATGTGGTAATTATCCTATATCCTTTATCTCAATCTTTCGGTTTATTTTAGGTATCTTCCTTCAGTTTGTAACTGAGATACTTCTCCTTTTTTAAGTTTCCACCGAGATTTTTCTTTTAACGGCGTTTGTTTCTTTGTCTTTTGAGAGAGGTAAAGATTTTCATTGTGCATTGAACCACAAAGCCAATACCCCGATTGCGTCTCTTCATTTCGATATCCTTGGACCGAAATAACCTGTCTTTCCGCTATATCATGATTGATCTCACTGCAGCTATGCTACCCTGATACTTTTATGACTAAGTAAATTCGCTGCATCAGTTTAAATACATTAAAGAGATACATTTACTGTAGCACCGCGTTTACGTAAAACGTGAATGGCAAGCGTGATCATGTGTCCTTGTTTTTCCCGCCATTTTTTCACGTTTGCCGGTTGCGTTTTGCCTTTTCAACGTGAAAGTAACCTGTATCGCGTTTGCCGTGTACTTAAGACTTTCTTCGTTTTTTCTCTCACAGAGTAAAAGTTAATTTCCGGAAAAAGGGCACCGGAACTATTCCTTGTAAGTCAGACAAGGACGCCTTCAAATCCACTATGACGTGAGCTCACGCGAAGCTTAAGCAGCAAGGTTCACGCTATTTCACGTGAAAAGTGAAAGCACAAGCTGACGTTTGCCGTTTCACGTAAACGTCGTGCTAAATCTCTCTATTATTCTACAAACAATTAATGAAGCTCAGACAAGAATACCAACGGGGGAGGGAGAGGGCTTTGCCTCAATATCTCACCAAATTCTCCCGTCTAAGTTAAAAGGAAATATAAGGCAATCGTAGGAAAATTAGTAATCGAATCTAGGGAGTTTTTAAAAGGGTCACGAGAAAATGAGTGGTTTAGGTTATATTTTTGTGGTAGTTATGCAAGAGTGTATAACGGACGTGGGCGGATGGCTTTGACCGCTGAGGATTATTTTTTTCCGATCTTAGCAGTTGCCAACCACTAGACTGGTTGACGTTAATACTTGGAAACGTTTTCTTTGACTAAATTTATTTTAACTTTGTAAATCATACTTAGTCTTACATAGACGAAATAAAGTTAAATGTATTTTTAAGACCTTAAGCAATTACTAATTATGAATTCCAAACTCTACCTCGGTTCCCGATATCACAAGTGCAAATTTCGCTAGCAGAAGACAAAGATGTTACATGTCTTTTTTATGTGCGTGGGATAAAGAAAATTATCTGACTCCCCAAAAGGAATTGAATCCAAGACCTTCGATTTCTCTACCACTGAGCTATAAAAAACTATATGGTAAGCAAGGTCATTTATGTGACGTGTCCTACATAATGCGGTTATGCAGTAAAGACCGAAGACAGACGGGCGACGAGGAAAGGTGATGTCAACAATCACATTGCTAAACATCACCGACTTACGAACCACAATATTGACTGGGACTCTGCGCAATGCCTAACCTTACGCCACTAGAGTCTTACAGCCAATAACATCACGGCAAAACTGATCAATCATTTTACATGAACTGAAATAAGAACCAGTCTACTGACAACAACTATTCACTTGCTTCTGATGATGACTTCCGCACAGGTTGCCGAAACGTCAGTCACTACCACCTACAACAGTCCTTCTCAGGACTACGCTCACCCTGACGATCACACTACACTTTCATACTGCGGTTAATATCAGGCAAGAGATTAACAGTTGATAATCTTTTGAATCGGGAGAGTCGAAAGGCGCGGTCGTGGGAGTAAATGGAACAAGAAAGCTGGTAAACTTTAAGCTAGATTGTTGACAGAAAAGGCTGATCCTGAGTCTTCAAGAACCGAGGGAGCACATCAGGGGAAAGATTATACTACTGCTCTTCGCTAGACTCATCTTGCATGTTCACATACATATGCCTACGTATGATGCACGATCCTCGCAGTAGAGAGCGTTATTTATGCATTAGCGAAAATCAGACCTGAAAAAAATCAGGCCTTTACGGGATTCGAACCACTGAACTCTGCGATAGTAGTGCAGCGCTCTACCAATTGAGCTAACAAGCCAACTAGGGGAGCAGGCCGTTAAGTTGATTCGTACTAAACCCGTGATGATAAATACATATACTTGTTAAACAACATGTGGACTATCATAGGAACGCAAGTCTTCGCTTCACAAGTGAGATGCGCTGAATAAAGCTTAACGAGCATTAAAGAACATATGAGCTGATTATTTAAAAAAAGTTTAGACGTTGTTTAACAAAACAGCTTCCTAAAAAAAAAATCGGTTTAGCTCAATCTTTTAACTGGACATCTTTGTTTGTGAACAGTCATAAGAGAGCCGAAAGCTACCAGTGTAAGGACAGTTATATAATTAAGTGAACGTTTTGTATACACAAACCAGAGACAAAGAAACGTACAACTGAAGCGAGGTCAGCAGTTTTTCAAGTCAAATCTCAAACATTGTAAAGTTTCCACATGCAACCCTTTTCCATAGAAATCCAATATAGTACTACGTATTCGTGACGAGTTAATGATAACGGTTGGTCAAGTGCCAAGCCGTGGTAACGCGGGTAGTCGCATTCGTCTTGCATCAAGTTCTGCTCAAGTTAAACGTGCCATTTTCTCGAAAAAATTTTGAACATCTATATGAAGCTTAAAGATAAAAGGGGCAAATAGCTGTTGATGAACTTACTTTCAAATGTGAAACTAATCAGTGCACTTCGATTGGTTCAGTTGATTACTATCCCTCTGACTTAATTTGGCAGTTTGATTTGCTGATATTTCAAGTGTACTCCAACCGACAGAAGATTGCATTTATGCCTCTTTTCTAGCACTAACGAACGCTTTTAATTTGCCATTTTGATTCAACTTTTAATGTTATCATGATTCAACTACTAGTGTTATCGTTATTCACTAGAGTTTCCCCGTTTGATTCTCTCGCAGCTAAAAATGAAACGATGTAGTGGCATGATGTCGAGAATACCTTGTGCGAATAAAAAATGGTGAATTTCAAGGTCAATCCTCGTTTAATGGAAATATGTCATTCGCAGTCACAATCGTGCATGGAACAAACTAAACATGAACGAACTAAACTGATTATTCCCGCAATGGAGCTTTACATTG